TCCTTTTTTATGTCTGTCTGTCCCTGCACCCCATCTCTCACCTTTGGGGGTCAGTCTTGTGGCTTCTTCCAGTCTATCTGTCCCTGTACTCCTTTTCCTTCTCAGGGTCAGCCCTGTGCCTGCATCCTGTCATTCTGTCTGTCCCTGCACCCCTCCTGTCCCCATGGAGGTTTAGAGGGGTCAGTCCCATGGCTTCCTCTGGTCTGTCTGTCCCTGCAGCCCTCCTGCCCCTGTGGGGGTCATCCCTGTGCCATTTTCCTGCCTGTCCCTGTGTCCCTGCACCTCTTCTTTTCTTGTCAGGGTCAGTCCCATGCCTTTCCTCATCATCCTGACACCCCTCCTTTCTCCATGGGGGTCAGTCCTGTGACTTCCTCCTGCCCATGTGTCCCTGAACCCTGTATTTCCCTGTATTCCTTCTTTTCCCCACTGGAGTCAGTGCCATGGCTCCCTTCTGTCTGTCACTCACCCCTCCTGTCCTCACTAGGGTCAGCTCCATGCCTTCCTCCAGTGTGTCTGACCCCACAGCCCTTTGGTCTGCGTTGGAGCCAGCTCCCTCCATCCATCCATCCCTCCATCCCTCCATCCACCCATCCATCCACCCATCCATCCACATTTCTGCCACTGTCCCCCTGGGGTCCCCCTTCTCCATCGCCACTGGGACTCCTTGGGAACCCTCAAATCACCATAATCCCGTGGTTGGTTTGGGTGGGAAAGCTCCCTGTGGGATGCCTTTTTTCCCCAAATCACCTCTTTATGGGTTTTCCCTGCCTGTCCCCAGCGGGAGCTGAAGGAGCAGCTCCAGGGGCTGCAGGAGAGCGAGCGTGGCCACACAGAAGCCCTGCAGCTCCTCAAGAAGCAGCTGGCTGAGACCAAGGTACGTGTGAGGACACCACTGTCACCCCTGGGGACCCCCAAAGCAGAACTGGGATCATTGCACCCCGATGACACCCCAACCCTGACTCTCACCAGCCTGCTATTGTAACTTCCAAACACTCCAAACTGTGCAATTTCATGGATTTGCCCCATTTTTTCCTTCTGTGGTACCCCAGTGGGGCTGCTCATCCCTCTGTAATTTCCTGCAGTGGTGCTTTGATTTATCTTTTTAAGTAATTTAATTATCTCCTCACTCAAGGGTTCAATGTCTAGTGAGGTTCAATTTTCTTCCTGTCCCCACCAGCAAGTGAGGTGGGGTTTTTTAGGTTTTAGTGTTTGGTTTTTTTAGTTTTGGTTTCTTGGGGCTTTTTTAGGGGGTTTTAAGGCATAATTTGAGGAATTTTACAAGTTTAGTAGAGGGTTTTCAGGGGTTTTTTAAGGGTTCTTAAAAGATCTCTTTAAAGGTTCTTTAAGAATTCTTTAAGAGCTCTGTAAAGTTTTTTGTGAGGTTTTTTCAGGGTTCTTTTGGGGATTGTTTTAAGGTTCTTTGGAAGGTTCTTTTGTGGTTCTTTTAGGTTTCTTGGGGAAATTTCTTAAGGTGCTTTTTTAGGATCTTTGGGGGTTCTTTTAGATTCTTCAGAAGGTTCTTTTAGGCTTTCTTTAGGGTTCATGGGGGTTCTTTGTAAGGTTCTTTGGGAGGTTTTTTAGGGTGCTTTTAGGTTTTTTTGGGGAGGTTCTCCTAGGGTTCTTCAGAAAGCTCTTTGGGTGGTCCTTCTAGGATCCTTTTAGTCCATTTTTTTAAGGGTGCACGCTCAAATCCACCCTTGTAGCCCCCAGAATTCCCTGATCTGATGCCCTTCTAGATATTTATTTGGGGATTAAGGAACTCCTGGATTGACCAGCAGAGCTTTGGGTGCTCCTAACCCCCCGTTGCACCCCAAGTCCTCAGCCAAGAGCCTGCGGGCGACCATCGGGGAGGCGTTTGAGCGGCTGCACCGGCTGCTGCGGGAGCGGCAGAAGGCCATGCTGGAGGAGCTGGAGGCCGACACGGCGCGCACGCTCAGCGACATCGAGCACAAGATCCAGCGCTACAGCCAGCAGCTGCGCAAGGTCCAGGAGGGCACCCAGATCCTGCAGGAGCGCCTGGCCGAGGCGGATAAACACGTCTTCCTGGCCGGCGTGGCGTCCCTCTCTGAGAGGTGGGTGGTGACGAGGGGATGGCGGGGTCCCTGGTGTCACCCCCGCCTCGGCACCGTGTGTTCTTCTCTGCAGGCTGAAGGGGAAGATCCACGAGACCAACCTGACCTATGAGGACTTTCCCACCTCCAAGTACATGGGCCCGCTGCAGTACACCATCTGGAAATCCCTCTTCCAGGACATCCATCCTGGTGAGGGCGCGGGGATGGGGGAGTAGCAGGGGACGGGGAGGTCACCAGGGACAGGAACACATTAATGAGGGATGGGGAAGGGGACATCACCTGGGAGGGAATGGGATGTCACTGACAAGGGACATTGCTGCCGAGGGTCTGGGACGTCAGTGATGAGGAGCAGGACACACCAGTGAGGGACAGGGACCAAGGGATGAGCATGGGGACAGGACACCCCAGTGAAGGATGGGGACAGGGCCACCCCGGTGACCTTCCCCCCATGCCGGTCGTCACCCCGGGCTGGCTCCAGAGCTGCACTAACCCTCGTTCCCCCCGTCCCTGCCGTGCCAGTGCCAGCAGCGCTGACGCTGGACCCCGGCACTGCCCACCACCGCCTCATCCTGTCGGACGACTGCACCATCGTGGCCTACGGCAACCTGCACCCGCAGCCGCTGCAGGACTCGCCGCGGCGCTTTGACGTGGAGGTGTCGGTGCTGGGCGCCGAGGCCTTCGGTGCCGGGGTGCACTACTGGGAGGTGGTGGTGTCCGAAAAAACCCAGTGGATGATCGGCCTGGCCCACGAGGCCGTGACCCGCAAGGGCAGCATCCAGATCCAGCCGAGCCGCGGGTTCTACTGCATCGTGATGCACGACGGGAACCAGTACAGCGCCTGCACCGAGCCCTGGACGCGGCTCAACGTCAAGGGCAAGCTGGAGAAGGTGGGCGTCTTCCTGGACTACGACAAGGGGCTCCTCATCTTCTACAACGCCGACGACATGTCCTGGCTCTACACCTTCCGGGAGAGGTTTCCCGGGAAGCTGTGCTCGTATTTTAGTCCTGGGCAGAGCCACGCCAACGGGAAGAACGTCCAGCCGCTGCGGATCAACACTGTCCGTATCTAGCGGGGGTTTTTGGGGTGTCCCCCGGCCCTGACGGGTGTTTTACCCCTCCAGGAACTGGTCCCGGTGCTGGGCAGGATCTGGCATTCCGCCTGCTTCTCTGGGTCCTGTGCTTCCAGGGAATCCCAGTGCAGGGGGCTGGGATATGGCAATAAAGGATTTGGAGAGAAGGGGCTGGGTGGTGGAGAGCCCCAGGGTGGGGGGAGTGGGCTGGGGGCACTGTGGGGTGCTGTGGCAGGGGTCTGTCACCATGCCAGGGGTGCCACACTGTGCTGGGGCATTGTGCCCTGGTCTGTGCCATGGCAGGGGTGTGTCACCATGCCGGGGGTGCCACACTGTGCTGGGGCATTGTGCCCTGGTCTGTGCCATGGCAGAGGTGTGTCACTGTACCGGGGGTGCCACACTGTGCTGGGGCATTGTGCCCTGGTCTGTGCCATGGCAGAGGTGTGTCACTGTACCGGGGGTGCCACACTGTGCTGGGGCATTGTGCCTTGGTTTGTGACACTGCCACGGCAGGGGTCTGTCACCATGCTGGGGGTGCCATGGGTGTCACACCGTGCCGGGGGTCACCATGCCGTGGGACATGCACTGTGACACGTGTGCCACATGAACAGCACTGTGCCCTGCTGTGCCATGCCATACATGCTGTGCCAGCCCTGGGCAGGGCTCCGTGTGTCAGTGTGGGGACACTGCGTGCATTGGAATGTGCAGGGGGTGTGTGGGCGCTGGGCTGGGTAGGGTGGGCTGTACAGAGGCTCTGGGATATGGGGAGTGGGCTGCACACAGGGGGTGCTCTGTGCTGTGTTGGGTGGGCTGTGCAGGGGTGTGGGGTTGTGTGTGGGGGCTCTGTGGGGCTGTCTGTATGGAGGTGGGCTAGGCAGGGGTATGGTATATGGAGGGAGAGACCTAGGGGCTGAGCTGTGTGGGGCAGTGCTGCAGAGGGGTGGGCTGTACCCACCCGGAGTGACTGAAGGGGGAGATGTTTGGGGCCTGGGCTGTGCCAGGACTGTGGTGTAACAGGGGAGATGCGTGCTGTACAGGGGCTGAGCTGTATATGGAGGGATGGTGATGTACAGGGCTGGGCTGTCATTAGGTACGGGGTGATATGTAAGGGTGGGCTGTATGGGGGCTGCTGTGGCACACACGACAGTGGGGCACTGGGGGGATCTCCAGGGGGTGGCACACACCAGTACAGGACAGTGGGGCCAAGGGGGTGCTGTGTAGGGGGTGGCACACACCAGTCCAGGACAGTGGGGCCAAGGGGGTGCTGTGTAGGGGGTGGCACACACCAGTCCAGGACAGTGGGGCCAAGGGGGTGCTGTGTAGGGGGTGGCACACACCAGTCCAGGACAGTGGGGCCAAGGGGGTGCTGTGTAGGGGGTGGCACACACCAGTCCAGGACAGTGGGGCCAAGGGGGTGCTGTGTAGGGGGTGGCACACACCAGTCCAGGACAGTGGGGCCAAGGGGGTGCTGTGTAGGGGGTGGCACACACCAGTCCAGGACAGTGGGGCCAAGGGGGTGCTGTGTAGGGGGTGGCACACACCAGTCCAGGACAGTGGGGCCAAGGGGGTGCTGTGTAGGGGGTGGCACACACCAGTCCAGGACAGTGGGGCCAAGGGGGTGCTGTGTAGGGGGTGGCACACACCAGTCCAGGACAGTGGGGCCAAGGGGGTGCTGTGTAGGGGGTGGCACACACCAGTCCAGGACAGTGGGGCCAAGGGGGTGCTGTGTAGGGGGTGGCACACACCAGTCCAGGACAGTGGGGCCAAGGGGGTGCTGTGTAGGGGGTGGCACACACCAGTACAGGACAGTGGGGCCAAGGGGGGGGCACTGGGAGCCGCACCCGCCGCCAGGCGGCGCTGTGGCGCCCGGTCCGCGCGATCCGCGCGTGCGCCCAGGGCGGACAATCGAGCGCCGAAAGGCGGAAGGGGTCCGCTGCCATCTTGCCCCGGGCGCAGCCCCTCCGGTACCGGCGAACGCGGGGGGCTGGGGGAGAGAGGGGCTTCAGTGGTTCGGCTGCGGCAGTCAGGGGGCTCCGGGGGGCTGGAGGAGCCAGGGGCCTGAGGGCTTCGGCTGCGGCAGTCGGGGGGCACCGGGGCCTTGGAGAGGGCTGAGGGAGTCGGGGGCTGAGGCGTTCTGTGGGCCTGGGAAGGACCTTGTTGGGCGCTGAGGGTGGGGGTTGGGGAACTGGGATCTCTGGGGGTTTGGGGGAGGCTGTAGGGCATGGAGGGGCGCCTTGTGGGGCACTGAAGGGTGAGGGGTTTGGGCAAATTGTGGTTTATGAGGGGTTGGGGAGGTGGAGAGGGCTGTGAGGGGCCTGGGGGGCTTCGGTGGTCTCTGTGGGCAATGGGGCTTTGGGGGGGACGTGTCCTCGGAGCTCCAGAGGGGGTTGGGGGTCTCATGTGAGGCTTACGCTGCATTGGGGGTCACCTGTGGGGCTCAGAGTGGGTTTGGGGGTCACCTCGGGATGGATTTGGGGAGTTCCCTGTGAGGATGCCATTGGGACACCCCCTGTGAGCCTCGGCTGTCTGGGGTGTCACGGGGGGGCCGTGCGGGTGTCACGGGGGTCCCGGTGACCCCCCGCCACGGTCGCAGCCATGGATCCGGGCGCGGGGGCGCGGAAGGAGCGGCCGAAGCCGCGGGAGCCAGCGGCTCGCCTGGAGAAGGCCAAGCAGAGGTCGGCACAGCAGGAGCTGAAGCAGCGGCAGCGGGCGGAGGTGGGAGCGCGGGCGTGGGGAGGGACGCGGCCCGAGCCGCGGCCGAGCCCCCTCTGCCATCCGCCCTTTCCCAACCCCAGATCTACGCCCTGAACCGGGTGATGACGGAGCTGGAGCAGCAGCAGTTCGACTCCTTCTGCAAGCAGATGCAGGGATCCGGGGAATGACAGCCCGGCCTCTGCCCTACCCCCCCTTTTCTAACCCCCCGGTATTTATTATCAAATCGCCCTTTTTGTATCAATAAAATCTGTGCTGGTTCTCTGTCTCCCGGCTCCTGCGTGCTCCGGGTGCGAATGGCGTGGGGAGGCCGGAGCAGGGCCGAGGCCAGAGCAGCTGCAGCGCCGGGTGCCAGCTCCAGCCGCGGCCCCGCCCCGACATTCCCAGCCGCAGGGAAGGGTCCTGCCCTCCCGGAGCTGGGGGCTATCCCAGGGGGACGCAGCAGGAGCCACATCCCGCAGCTGCTCCTGCCGCCAGAGCCTCCCCGGGGATTCCAAGTGTTTCTGCAGCACCAGGTTTGACCTTCGCTTCCTTCCTCCACCCACACCCTCTGTGCTCCAGCCGCCGCTGTCCGGAGCTTTCCAGAGACTTTGGATCAGTCCTGCTTCCCCCTTTCCCTGCCCCAGCGGTGTCACACTCAGGGGGTGAAAATAAACCACATTTGGGATGGTGTTTCCCTGCAGCCACGGATTAAGTGGTAAATTCCAAACTGTTCCCAGAGAATCCCATTTCGGAAACCCTCTGGAAGTTTGATCAGCGTCTTCCTCCTCCCACCCAGGGAGGGCTTTCCTTACTTTTGGAGTGTGAACCTCCCTTTGTAATGAATTCCCCCAGGACAGTGTGAGCGATCCCTAAACTTCAGTTTCCTGTGCAGAGGAGGGTTTGGGGGTCTCTCGTCAGGGCAAACTCAATTTCCTGTTCCCCAAGGCTTTGGAGGTCTCTGCTGTTGGTGTGGGGGGCTGGGGGTTCCCTCAATCCCCCCAAAGGACAGGGATTTTGGGCCTTCCCTGAAGTGGAGCCTGTCTCTTTTTTTACCTTAGCAGGCTCCTTTTGCCACCTGGATTCAGTGGGAAGAGCGAAGGGAGGAAGCAGCACGCGAAGCAAGGACGAGGAGATAAGGATGAGGATGAGGAAGGCTTTACTAGGCTCTAGGGAGGGCTCAGGCCTTGCAGCTCCAGAGGGCGAAGGGGAAGACGATGTAGGACGTGGCCCAGGCCAGGCAATAAACCGCAGCCACCGCCGTCGGTGCCAGCAGGACAGCCACCACCCCTAGGGAGCGGGAGAATCCTTGGGGATCTGCTCTGCCTCCCTGCACCACCATCCCGAGTGGGCCGTCCCCGTCCTTACCTCCAGCATAAACCAGTTTCTTCCAGAGCTGTGACTCCAGCACCCTGTCGTGGGGGTAGAAGCCGCAGTCGGCCATGAACAGGACCATGGCAGCCGCGGCGACGCGGAGCAGGGCCACGTGTCCCCCGGTGAGCAGGAAGGTGCTGACCAGCAGCGCCGAGGCGTAGGGGCAGGGCAGCCCTCGGTAGGTGAAGGGGATCCCTGTGGGGTGTCAGGAGTTCAATGTGGGGGCTAAAACCCCAGGCCCCCCACCCCCAGGGGCTCATCTTACCGCTGGAGAAGAAGCAGAGGCGGGCGAAGACGGCCAGCACGTAGGCGAGGGTCAGCAGCCCCCCCAGCACACCCTGGGGCTGCAGCAACAGCGCCGTGCCCAGCCCGAACGTGGTGAAATCGGCAAAGTCATCCAGCTTGGCACCTGTGGGGGCAGCCAGGGGCAGGTGCCAGGTGGGCACCGGGCACAGGGGACGCCCCTGGGGTCACCCCTGGGCCGGGGGGACGCACTCACCCAGTGCCGAGCAGGCGTCGAGCTGCCGGGCCACGGCCCCGTCGGCCAGATCCAGCAGGAAGCCCAGGAGCAGCAGCCAGCAGGAGTACTGGTATTGCCTGGGGGGAAACCCCATTTCTCAGCCCCTGTTCCCCTCTTTTTCATCCCATTTCTCCCTTGTTTAGCCCCATCTGTTGAGAGTGGAGGTAAGCCCAGCCACCAGGTTGGCCACAGAGAGAGCAAAACTGGGATGATCTCCACACATCCTATCTTTGCCTTCTTTCCCCTTTTTTCCAGCAGAATCAGGGTGATCCCCACTTTACAACCTGCTTTTTCCTTTTCTTTTTTTTCCCCATTTTCCCTCTTCTGCCCTGTCCACTTCCTTTGGATGGAGGAGAGCCTGACCTCAGAGGCTGGCAGAAGCAGGGTGATCCCCACTTTACAACCTGCTTTTTCCTTTTCTTTTTTTTCCCCATTTTCCCTCTTCTGCCCTGTCCACTTCCTTTGGATGGAGGAGAGCCTGACCTCAGATCCAATGGAGGGAGCAGATCCAAGGTGACCCCCACTTCCCAACTCTTTTCACCACATTTACACATTTTTCAGCATATTTCCTCCTTTTTCATCACATTTCCCCCATTTTCCAGAAAAACTGGGGTGACCCCCACTTCTCAACCCTCTTTTCCACCCCTTTTCAGCCCATTTCCTCCATTTTCCTCCCTCATCTATTGATGCTGCAGAGGCCAAAGGTGAGGAGCCTTTGACCATGGAGAGAGCCAAACCACAGTGTCCCCCACTTTTCTACCCAATTTTCACCCTATTTCCTTCTTTCCTCCCCCCCTTTCCCCCTTTTTCCAGTAAACCACACTTTTCTATCATCTTTGCCCTCCCATTTCCCCCTTTTTTCCAGAAAAACCAGGGTGACTCCAAATTCCATGCATATTTTTCACCACATTTCCTCTGTTTTTATCCCATTTCCCCTGTTTTTTCCCCACCTATTGAAGCTGCAGAGGCTGGAGGGGAGCCTGCCCGCCAGCTTGGCCACAGGGAGAGCACAGCCAGGGTGACCCCCACTCCCCAGCCCCGTTTTTCACCCCGTTTTTCCCGGTTTCCCCCACCTGTTGACGCTGCAGAGGATGGAGGAGAGCCCAGCCAGGAGGTTGGCCACGGAGAGCCCGTTGGCCGCGTTTTTCCGGAGGAATTCCAGTGCCCGGCCCCGTCCCGCTTGCTCGCTCAGCACCAGCTTCTTGGTGGACTGGAAAATACCTACAACCCCCAGCGTGTTCCAACCAGGGAGGGGCTACAGCCCCCCCAAAACATAGCAGGTTGGTGCAGGGGGTCCCCCTCCTCAAACCAAAATCCCCCAAAATCTGTTTAGGAAGCAGCAGGGGATTGATTTGTGCAAGCTCTGCTGCTGAGCTCCCCACCGGCGGCCAAAAATGGAATAAAAGAGGCCAAAAAAGCAAAGAAATGAATAAAAGAACCGTAAAATATAATAAAATAAAGACAAATTAAGCCAAACCCAAGCTTAGACTAAAAGCCAACCCCGGTTTAAGCTCTATGGATCTTATATACCTATCGGGCTAAGCTTTAGGGAAAGAATTTAAGGGTCCTGTCCTTTGCCCCCCGCCTTTGCCGTGTCCCAAAGCCAGGCAGATCCTTCATCTGAAAGAAAACAGCACGTCAGAGCAAGACAAACCCCCCGAGCCCCCTCAGAGCCCCCCCGAGCCGCTCCGTCGCCGGAATGCCACCAGAACAGCTCCCCAGGTGGGAAAACCAGGAAGAGCCGCGGGAGAGCCGAGGTGCCGGGGGTCGGCGGCTCCGAGCCGGGAGCGACCTTTGGACACCGCGCCCGGAGCCGCCGGCACGGGCTGAGCCGGGGAAATCCCCCCTGAGCCCCGCACGGCGCTCCGCTCCTGCCGGAACCGGGCACTTTTGGGGGGCCTGAGGCCGTGCTGGGTGCTGCTCCCCACCTTTATCCCTCAGTTTGGGGTGAGTTTGGGGATTTTCGACAGCTACATTTTCGGGATTTGCCGTCCCTTCCCAGCGCCGGGCAGGATCGGGGCCCCGGGAATGTTCCGGAGCTGTCGCAGCACCGGATCCAGGCACCTGTGAGCGTCACAGCACCCGGGCACAGCCGGGGCTCCCGAGCTCGCCCGACCCTGGAGTTTCTCGCCCCAAAATCCAAGTGCCGGGATGGGAGGGAATTCCTTAGCCCTGCGCAGCTCCCGCTGCTTTTATCCCTACTTTGGGGGCAAAGCAAGGTGATTTTGGTTCTTCCCAGGTGCGTTAGGAGGGGGTTGTGCCCCCAGGGCTATCTCAGCCCCCCCAAGGCACAGGGAAAAGGGGTTCAGCCACAGCAAGTGCAAAGTTAACCTATTTGGGGGGGCAATGCATGTATTTTACAGTTTTCTGCCCCAATAACCCTAATTTTTCTACTAACCCCCTCCAAATGATGATTTTTAGGGATGGGGGACACGTCGCAAAGGGGCCGATTATCATCCAGGTGACACTTACCGACCGGCGGTGACACCATCCACATGGCAGCGGCGGCTGTGGCAGCAGTGACAGTGACGCCCCGGCGAGGGGAAACTGAGGCAGGGGCCGCTCCGTGGGGCTCCGCGCGGTGCCGCGTTATATAAGGAAAAGCCTCTCGGGCTGAGTCACCCGGCGGGGGTGGGTCCGGCCAGAGGCCACGGACACGGACACGGGGGGTTCGCAGCCGCTTGGCACCACCGGCGAGGGAGGAGCTGCCCCGGGGGGCCGGGGGGCCATGCCAGGCTCGCGGTGCCCCTGCCAGCCTCCCAGCGCCCCTGCCAGCCTCCCAGTGCCCACGCCAGGCTCGCAGCACCGGTGCCAGGCTTGCAGTGCTTGTGCCAACCCTGCAGCGCGTAGGGGGTGGCACACACACCCGTGCCAGGCTCGCAGCACCCGTGCCCAGCCGCAGCACTGGTGCCAGGCTCGCAGCACCCACACCGTGCCCACAACAGCAGGACCGGGCTGGCAGCACCCATGGTGCACTGATAGCACCTGTATCACACTCACAGCACGGGCGTCTCACTGATAACACCTGCACAGGCTCACAGCTCCCTTGTCACTCTGGTAACACCTGGATCAGTGGCACAGCACTGATTCCAGGCTCACTCCTCACCTTGTCCAGGTGTGGACCACCCGTGCCATGCTCACAGCACCTTTGCCAGCTTTGGAGCCCCTTTGGCAGGCTCACACCACCCACACCCAGCTCATGGCACCCATCCCACACCCCCAGCACCCATCCCACACTCCAGCACCCATCCCGCACTCATGGAACACATGCCAGGCTCTCAGAGCCCATCCCAGGATTGCACCATCCGTGCCAGTCTCACAGCACCCATATCCTGCTCACAACACCCCTGGCAGGCTAACAGTACTCACACCGTGCTTTGTATTGCCCTTGCCAGGCTCACAGCACCCACCCCACCCTCACAGCACCCACCTCCCCCTCACAGCACCCATGCCAGGCTCACAGCACCCACCTCCCCCTCACAGCACCCATGCCAGGCTCACAGCACCCATATCCTGCTCACAACCCCCCTGGCAGGCTAACAGGACTCACACCGTGCTTTGTATTGCCCTTGCCAGGCTCACAGCACCCATATCCTGCTCACAACCCCCCTGGCAGGCTAACAGGACTCACACCGTGCTTTGTATTGCCCTTGCCAGGCTCACAGCACCCATATCCTGCTCACAACCCCCCTGGCAGGCTAACAGGACTCACACCGTGCTTTGTATTGCCCTTGCCAGGCTCACAGCACCCATATCCTGCTCACAACCCCCCTGGCAGGCTAACAGGACTCACACCGTGCTTTGTATTGCCCTTGCCAGGCTCACAGCACCCACCCCTCACTCACAGCATGCACGCCTCTCTCACAGGACCTCTGCCAGGTGTGTACCACCTGTATTTGTGCCATGCTTGTAGCACCATGGCACTCACAGCATCCACACCAGTCCCACGACACCCACACCAGTCCCACACCCCCACACCAGCCCCTGGCACTGCCACACCTGTCCCTGCACCCCACTGCCACCACAGGGTGATTGCACCCAAAAGGTGTCACCACCCGGTGCCATCCCACCAACAATTCACAGCCATAGCATGGGGGGCACAGCTGGTGTCCCCCACCCTCACCCCCTGCGCTGGGCTGGGTCCCCTTTTCCGCCACCCTGGGCCTGTGCCAGGTGGCCCCAACTTGTGCAAGGGTGTCACGAGCTGGGGGAGCTCGGCCTCCCCCTCCCCTGGAGCAAAGGGCCGGCGATAGCGAGGGGCTGCCGGGGCAGGCGACGCCGGGGCCACCAGCGGGAGAGCAAAGGTCCCCGAGGACACGGTGACAAGGAGCCCATAAAACTTATACAGCCCTGGTGCTGGAATTTTCCACCCAGATCCCGGCGGGAATTGGGGGGTGCTGCAGAGCCCATGGTTGCGGGGTCCCAGGGTGAGGGGAGGGCCCTGGGGTGCCCGTTGGGGGGTCCCAGGGTGCTGGTCACGGCGGGGGCGCCGGTGAAAGGGCTCTTTGTTCGCTGGTCACGCGCTGGTGCCGGCGGTTGCGAAGCGACAGCCAGGACAGGAGGGCCACGGCCATGGGCGTCCAGCCCTGGGGCACCCCAAGGGGGCCGTCCCGCAGCCCCGGGGGGGCCCAGCCCCGTGGGGGCACAGCCCATCACTGGGTGCCCGTCACCGTGGCACCGGGGCAGTGCCGGTGTCCTCAGGGCACCCAGAGCCACCGCGCCGAGGTGTCTTGGGGTGTCTTTGGCAGCAGGTGCCCATGCCCATGGCACAGGGCGCTTCGGGGTGCTTGCTGCTGTGTCACCGGAGTGTCTGAGGCTCCCCATCCCTGTGGCACCCGGGTACTCATCCCTGTGGGATCTGGGTGTCTGAGGGTGCCATCCCCACGGCATCTGGGCACCTGTCAGTGTCTATCCCCATCGTGTCTGAGTACCTCTGGGTGTCCATCCCTGTGACACTGGGCACATCGGGGTGCTCCCAGAACTATCTGCTGGTAATGGTGCAGCCCCAGACCCCTCCCCAGCACAAGGACCACAAGGACACAGTGGTGCCAGCAGTCGTGGTTTATTTGCCTAATGCTAGGCTGGGGGGGTCGATGACAAGGACGCTGCCATGCTCAGTTGTTTCTAATGGTCTGGAAGGGAGAAGCTTCTCAGACAGGAGGACAGTACCCCAACACCTGGACACCCCAACACTCTAATAACCCAACACCCTGGCACCCCATCACCTCAGCACTATGGCATCCCAACACCCCAGGAGTCTGGCACACCAGTGCCCAGCAGCTCAGCGCCACAGCACCATGGCTCCCCAGAACCCAGAGCCCTGGTACCCCATCGCCCTGACACCCCCATTCCCTGGGACCCCAGAACCCAGCACCCTGGTACCCATCACCCCAGAGCTCTGGCAAACCTTTGTCCTGGCAGCCCAGCAACATGGCACCACAGAGACCTGGTGCCATGGTACCCTGACTCCCCACCCCCTGGCCCCCATTGTCCTGGCATCTCAGCAACTCAGAGCCCTTTTTCCTCAGCTCCACAATACCCAAGCACCCCAGTGCTGTGGCACATCTGTGCCCTGGCACTTTGGTACCCCACTGCCCTGGCACCCAGCAGCCTGGTACCCTGGCACTCCAGCATCCCAGCACCCCAGAGCACTTTTACCCTGGCACTGTGGCACTGACAGCTGGTACCCCAGCACCATGGCACCCTGACAGTTCCATCCTCTGGTACCCCAGCATCAGAGCACCCCAACCCTCTGCACCCAACAATCTGGTACACCAACACCCCGGCACCATGGCAGCCCAGCAGCCTGGCCCCTTTTCCCCCTGGTGCCCCGCTACCCCAGCACTCCAGAGCCCTGGTACCCCATTGCCCTGGCAACCAGTACCCCGATACGGCATCCCAATTCCCCAGCACCATGGTACCCAAGTTCCCTGGCATCCTGACACCATGATATCCCAATTCTCTGGCACTCTTGCACCCTGACAACCCAGGATCCCCTTCCTTTCCCCCTGGCAGCCTGTGCCCACCTCTTCAATCCAGTCCTCGAAGGCGGACACGCGGGTGAACACCGTGGGTTTCTTGGCGGCATTGCAGCCCAGGGCCGACACGAAGCTGGCGATGCCGTGGACCTCCCAGGTGCCATCCTCAGCCTGGCAGTTCAGGGGTCCCCCGGAGTCGCCCTGAGGTGTGGGATGAGGCAGGGTCAGCACCACAGGGGGCCCGGGATGTGCCCCCCTCCCCCCGGAGCAGTACCCACATTGCATCCAGACTTCTCAGCGCCGCCGGCACAGATCATGGTTCGGCGGATGGCCAGGACGCCCCACCAGTCGGGCTGGGTGCAGTGCTCATAATCCACCACGGGCAGCTCTGCCTGCTGCAGCCGGTCCGGCAGCGACCCCCCAGCTGTGGGATCCGAGTACCCGGGATGTGCCCACGGCGCCCCATCCATCCATCATCCATCCATCATCCATCCATCATCCATCCATCATCCATCCATCATCCATCCATTCATCCATCATCCATCCATCCATCCATCCATCCGTCCATCCATCCATTCATCCATCATCCATCCATCCATCCATCCATCCGTCCATCCATCCATTCATCCATCATCCATCCATCCATCCATCCATCCGTCCATCCATCCATTCATCCATCATCCATCCATCCATCCATCCATCCATCATCCATCCGTCCATCCATCCATCCATCCATCCATCCATCCATCCATCATCCATCCATCCCCCATCCATCCATCCATCATCCATCCATCCATCCGTCCCTCATCCATCCATCCATCATCCCTCCATCCCTCCAACCCTCCCTCCACCTCCCCATTCATCTCCCCATCCGTTCTCTATCCCTCCACCCAACCCTCCCTTACCTCTGCATCCTGCCACCCCTTCAACCATCTCCCTGGCCATCCCTCCCTCCATCTCCCCATCCCATCCACCCCACATCTATCAATCCCTCTATTCATCCCCTATGTCCCTCATCCCCTCTCTCCATCTCCCCAGCCATTCCCCATACATCTCCCCATATGCCCGTCCCCCATCTCTCCCTCCATCTTCCCATCCATTTCCCCCTCCATCCCTCTGTCCATCCCTCTGTCCATTTCCCCGTCCATCCCTCCGTCCATCCCTCCTGCCCTCCGCAGCCCTCCCCGGCTGTCCCTGCGGCCAGACGCACTGGTGAGCAGTCCCCAGCCGCTGAGCACGCAGGGGTACCCGTTGGGCAGCACGGAGCCGGCGGGCGGCAGCCGCCCCACTTGCACCTGCGCCGAGAGCACGGCCGGCCGCTGCAGCTTCATCAGCGCGATGTCATTGCTGCGCGCAGGGACACGGGTCAGAGGGGCGGCCGGGGGGCGCGGCGTCCCCAGCCCCCCAGGGACCCCGCTCACCCGCAGGCCGCGCAGAAGCTGAGCCACTTGGGGTGCACGAAGATGTCGTCGGAGTTCACGGGGATGCTCTGCTCGGGGCCCTCCCCAGTGCTCCTGTCGTACTCGCCCAGCACCACCTGGTAGGTGCGGGATTTGCTGCCAGGAAAGGGGGGGATCAGCGCTTGCGGCCCCCCCTCGGCATCCCTCCTGCACCCGGGACCCTTTCACGCACCCAAACGCTCTGCTCTGCGCCCTAAATCCCCGTCCTGCACCACTCCATGCACCAAGTCTGCACCCAAACTCACCTCTCTGCACCCTGAACCCCATCTTCTCTGCACCCTGAAACTCTTCCTGCACCAAACCCTCCGCCCTGCACCTGAACCCCCACCCTGCACCTCCCCGTGCACCCGCCCTGTGCCCAAACTCACCTCCCTGCCCTCTGAGCCCCTTCCCTGCACCCACTTTGCACTTCTCACCCCATCCATGCACTCCTTAACGCATGTGGCAACCCCTCCCTGCACCGGGAATGCCCTCCCTGCTCCCCGAACCCCGTCTTGCACTCAGGACTCCCTTCCTGCACCCCACTGCACCCCTGCTTTACCCAGGACCCCCTGTACCCCGATGAACCCTCTCCATGCACCCATCCCTGCACTGCAGCACCCATCCCTGTGCCCCACATCCCCTCCTGCACCCCTCCCTGCGCCCCACATCCCCTCCTGCACCGACCCCTGAGCCCCACATACCCTCCTGTGGCCCTTCTGCACTCCCTTCACCCCAAACTCCCACTACACTCACCTCTCCACCTGTACCCTTCCCTGCACCCCTCCTGCACTGACCCCTGCACCCTGCACCCCTCCATGCACCCCTCCATGCACTCTGGTGCCCTTCTGCACCCATCCCTGCACCCCACACGTACCCCTGTATCCACTTCTGCAACACGTACCCCAACACCACTTCTGCACCCCAACACCCATTTCTGCACCCCGCGTCTCCTCCATGCAGCCCTCTGCACTCCTCCCTGCCCCCCAGCCCCATCCCACAGCCCCATCCCACAGCCCTCATTCCCTATCCCATCCCGCAGCCCCATTCCCTATCCCATCGCGCAGCCCCATTCCCTATCCCACCCCGCAGCCCCATTCCCTATCCCATTCCCTCTCCCATTCCCTATCCCATCCCGCAGCCCCATTCCCTATCCCATCCCGCAGCGCGGTCCCGCAGCCCCGGTGCCCTCACGAGATGCAGTGCGCGGCCGTCATCACCCAGTTGGCCGCGATCAAGGTGCCCCCGCAGGTGTGGCGGAAGGTGCCGTCCCGCTCGTACTGCAGCGAGATCTGGGGGGGAGACACCGCTGGGTGCCACCGTCCCCCCACACGGGCGCCGCTGCCCCCGTCCCCCTGTCCCCGTGTCCCCCTGTCCCCTCACCTGCCAGGGCCAGCTGTAGGGCTCCGCATCTTGCCCATTGACCACCCTGGAGTCCGGCAGCACCGCGGCGCGAGCACCTGCAGGACACGGCACCGTCACCCACCGGGCACCCACCCGAGCCGCGGGACACGGGGGGGTCAGGGGACACCTCACCGCCGGCCACCAGCAGCAGGACAAGGCTCAGCATCGCAGCCATGGCTCAAGTGTGGCTGTCCCGGGCACCCGCCGGCCTTAAATCCCCGCCGGCACCGGAGCCCCAAGGGCACCGCTGGGAACGGGCACCCGGTGCCCAGCTGGGTCTTGCTGGGGGTTAAACATTAACCTTGGCCTTGGGGGGACGTGGCACTGGCACCCAGCCACTGGGGACCCTACAGATCCCAAACCCCCTGTCCCTGCTGCTGCTACTGCCCCGTACCCCCAGAGTGCCCCATGGCCACCCCAGGCCCTCTGGTCCCCCAGGGCCCCCCACAGTCCCTCTAACTGCCCCATGCCCCCCTTAGCCCCCATGACCCCGTGCCCCCCACAGTCCCCACATCCCTCTGTGTGCCCCACAGTCACCTCTGTGCCTCCCAGAGCCCCTGCGACCCCCTGTACCCTCCCAGCCACCACAACCACCCTGTGCCCCCCTGGCCCCACATTCCCTGTGCCCCTGGTGGCCCCTCAGACCCCTCTGCCCTCACACATCCCTCCCCACCCCTGGGCCCTGGAGCCCCCAAGCCCCTACAACCAGCCCTGTCCCCCCATGTTCCCTGTGCCTTTGGTGTGCCCACATGGCTCCTATAGCCCTCACGGGCTCAGTGCCCCACACACCCTCCCCTCCTGGACCCCCAGAGCCCCTACAGCCATCCCAGGTCCATAGTCCCCATGTCCCTGGTGTCCCCATATGGCTCCTACAGCCCCCATGGACTATATGGGCCCATATATCCTTCCTCCCAGACCCCCAGAACTACCCCTGTGCCCCACAGCCCCCTGATCACCTCTACTGCCCCCACAGCCCCTTCCAGCCAGCCTTGTGTCCCCCCATGTTCCCATGGCCCCTATGGCATAGGCACCCCCTCCCACAGCCCCTAGTGCCTGTGCCCCCCATATGCCCCTGGTAGCCCACTCTGCCCGCCCCTGGCCCTCATACTCACCCCCCTCCCAGAACCCACAGCCCTTACAAACACCCCTAGACCCTTTAAACCCCTGTGCCCCCAGAGCCCCCCTATATCTGCCATGCTTCCTGTGTTCCCCATACACCCCCCTACTGTCCTGTACCCCAAGGACTCCCACAGCCCCCCTGCACCCCTATTGCCCCCCCGTGTCACTTTATGCCCCTGGTGCCCCCCACAGACCCTATAAACCTCAGTGTCCCCATAGGCCCTCACCCTTGGTACCCCCATAGCCCCTATAGCCCTTCACAGCTCCTCTAATTCCCTTGTGCCCCCCATAGCCCCCCCACTCCCCGGTACTCCCGGAGCCCCCCCCATGTCCCCATTGCTCCCAAACTTCCTCACGTGCCCGGGGGGCTGTGGGGTCCCCACGCACCCCAGAAGCCTCGTGGAAGTTCCCACAGGAGTTCTCCATGCCCCTCCAGTGTCCCCATGCACTCCCATGACCCTGTAGAAGTTCCCAGGGGTGACCCCTGTGTCCCCTGTGTCCCCATTAAGTTCCCAGGGGTGTCCCAAGGTGTTCCCACGTGCTCCCACATCCTTGTAAAAGTTCCCAGGGATGACCCCCATTTTGTCCCATGTCCCCACAACAGTTCCTGAAGGTGCTCCACAGTGTCCCCACGCACCCCTTGTCCCCATAAAAGTTCCCAGATGTGCATCCCCGTTCTCCCCCCACGCTTGTGTTCCCCTAGAGTTCCCGGGAGTGTCCCACGGTGTCGCCACGCAGCCCCGTGTCCCTGTGCTTGTACCTGTGCAAATTCCCACAGCTGCCCCATGGTGTCCCCATGCACCTCCAGGTCCCAGGAGAAGTTCCCAGGAGCGTCCCACGGTGTCCCCAAGCACCCACGTCCAGAGGTGCCCACCCGTGTACGCCCATGTCCCCACACACCCTCACGCCCTCCTGGAAGTCCCCAGGGGTGTCCCCCCTTGTCCTCAACACCCGTGCCCCAGTTTAAGTTCTCAGAGTTCCCCCCTGTGTCCCCCCGTGTTCCTGCAAAAGTTTCCAGGGCTGTCCCCGATACCCCGTACCCCAGTGCAAGTTCCCCGGGGTGTCCCAAGGTGTCCCGGCACCCCCGGGTGTCCCCCTGGGTCCCCCTGCTGTCCCTGCAAGAGCTCCCAGGGGTGTCCCCTGTGTCCCAGAGCAAGACCCCAGAGTTGTGCCCCGGTGTCCCTGCGCCCCTCCGTGTTCCCCGTTCCCCGTGTCCCTGCAAATGCTCCCCGGGGGTGTCTCCCCGTGTCCCTGTAGAAGTTCCCAGGGGTGTCCCACGTGCGTCCGTGTCCCAGTGCCCGTTCACAGGGCTGTCCCCGTGTCCCCGTGCCAGTTCCCGGGAGTGTCCCCGTGTCCCAGTGCCCGGTCCCAGGGTGTCCCAGTGTCCCTGCACAAGTTCCCGGGGCTGTCCCCGTGTCCCAGTGCCCGTGCCCGGGGCTGTCCCCGTGTCCCAGTGCCCGGTCCCAGGGGTGTCCCCGTGTCCCAGTGCCTGTTCACAGGGTGTCCCCGTGTCCCCGCACAAGTTCCCGGGAGTGTCCCCGTGTTCCAGTGCCCGGTCCCAGGGTGTCCCAGTGTCCCTGCACAAGTTCCCGGGGCTGTCCCCGTGTCCCAGTGCCCGTGCCCGGGGCTGTCCCCGTGTCCCAGTGCCCGGTCCCAGGGGTGTCCCCGTGTCCCAGTGCCTGTTCACAGGGTGTCCCCGTGTCCCCGCACAAGTTCCCGGGAGTGTCCCCGTGTTCCAGTGCCCGGTCCCAGGGTGTCCCCGTGTCCCAGTGCCCGTGCCCGGGGCTGTCCCCGTGTCCCTGCACAAGTTCCCGGGGCTGTCCCCGTGTCCCCGTGCCAGTTCCCGAGAGTGTCCCCGTGTCCCCGCGCCCGTTCACAGGTCTGTCCCCGTGTCCCAGTGCCCGTTCCCGGGGCTGTCCCCGTGTCCCCGCGCCCGTTCACAGGTCTGTCCCCGTGTCCCAGTGCCCGTTCCCGGGGGTGTCCCCGTGTCCCAGTGCCCGTTCACAGGGCTGTCCCCGTGTCCCCGCACAAGTTCCCGGGGCTGTCCCCGTGTCCCCGTGCCCGTTCCCAGCGGTGTCCCGCCGTGTCCCCGCCGCCCCCCCGTGTCCCCGCGGGCGCGCGCTGCGCGGCCCCGCCCCGCGGGCCGNGGCGCGGCCGGAGCGGAGCGGGGCGAGCGGAGCGATCTCGGCGGGGCCGCAGCGGCGATGGGGCGGCGGGGCCCGGCGGCGCTGGGGACCCTCGTGCTGCTGGGGACCCTCCTGGGGGTGAGTGGGGCCGGGGGCCCGGGAGCGCGGGGGGCTGGGGGTCCCCTCGCCGAGCTGGGAGGTCCCGGAAAGGAGTTGGGGGCCCCGGAGTTGGGGTCCCGCGAAGGAGTTGGGAAGCTCTAAAGGATCTGGGGTACCTGAAGGGAGTTGGGGTCTCTACCCGCGGACTTTGGGTCTCTTAAAGGAAATGAGGTCCCTTGCAGGAGCTGGAGTCTCCCCCAACGGAGCTGGAATCCCCAAATGAGTCGGGGTCCGGGGAGCTGGAATTCCTTGTGGGAGTTGGGGTCCCCTACAGGAGTCGGGGTCCCCGGAGCGGGAATCCCGTAGAGCAGTTGTGAGCTCCCTGTGGTTTTGGGGTCCCTTGAAGTACTTTGGGGCCCTTAAAGAAGTTGGGGTCCCCACACGGTTTTGGGATCTTCTAAAGGATTTTGGTACCACGGAGCTGGGGTCCCCTAAAGGAGTTGGGGTCCCCTAGGGGAGTTAGGACCCCCTCCCCGGAGTTCGGGATCCTTGTAGGAGTTGGGGTCCCCCACGGAGTTTGTGTCTCTTGAAGGACTTGAGATCCTTGTTATCACGGAATTGGGGTCCCCCAGGACACCAAGGAGATGTGGGGGTCCCTGTTCCTCAAGGGATTGGGGTGTCCCCCCTGTACCAGGGGATTCCTGACACCCTGCCCCCCTCCCTAAGGGACTGGGGGTCCCCCCCTGCACCGGAATCACGTGAAGACCCCAGGGCCCACCCTGTCCCATCTGGGAATTGCAGTGGCCCCCCAAAGGAGAGGTGGGGTCCCTCTCCCGTGCGCTGCCCCATCTGGGAATGGGGTGTGTGGGGTCCCCCTCCCTGTCCTCTGTGGGGCTTGAGGTCCCCCTGGGGCTGGGGGTACATGGGGTCACCCACCCCTATACCCCTGTGGAACTGGGGTCCCCATGACCCCAGTGTGAGGGTCCCGCTCGGGGGGGTCTCCATCACCCCACCCTGTTCCTTCAGGGAGTTGGGGTCCCCCATGACCCCAGAGTGGGGATGGTTCCCATCACCCCATAAATCCACCCATGGTGGTCCAGCCCCCCCTCGCCCCCACACCCTGCCGTGGGTGGGGGTCACTTACAGGGGCACTTACATCCTGCTTTTGGGGTGCCCCCCGCCCCCCCGTCCCAGGGGGGTGGTTTGGGGTTGGGCGGGTGCCCGGGGTGGAGAACAGAGGGGGCCTTGTGCTCGAGGCCGTGCTGGCAGCGCGGCCCCCCCGCTGTCCGTGGGGCTCCCACCCACGTCCGGGGGGGCTGGCGGGGACAAAGGGGGGGGATCCCCACTTTACCATCCCCCACCCCCCATTCTGCTGAGGCACAGGGGGGGATTTGGGGACCGAGCAGCTCAATCCCCCCCCTGGCCGGGATGCTGGGCCGTACATCCCCCTCCAAACGCGTGAGGGGGGGGGGGGGTTCCCAAGCGGCCCACGGAGGGGTTTGGCGTGGGGTGGGGCACGGGGGTGCCACCTCCAAGGGCTGCGAAGAGTTAATTTGGTGGGGGGGAAGGGGAGGGCGAAGCAGGAATGTGCGATAAGATCACCCTGCCCGGGGGGAAGGGCTGGGGAAGGGGGGGACACCCCACGCACACCTCCCGCGCTCCTGCACACGCGTGTGCCCGGGGCACGCACGGGGGGGGGCACGGCCACGGCCGCTCTGGGGACCCCGCGCTGCTGGGGAGGCTCCTGTCACACCTGGGGGCATTTGGGGACACCTGGGAGCATTTGGGGCTACCTGGGGGCATTTGGGGCCGCCTGGGAGTGCTCGGGGGCACTCGGGGACCCTCCGGGCCCGCAGCGCACATGGCCTCTTGCCTTCGGCTCTTTCCCATCGCCAAAGATGGCCCGGCAGGGATGAGGAGGAGGAGGAAGGCGGGGAGGAAGGTCAGCTCAGACGCTGGGTCCATGCCAGGACTCCTGGGTTTCCCCCTCGCCATGAAAACCTGACACTCCCCCTAAAAGTCCTGTTATCCCACAAAAGAACCTACTCCCCCAAAAAATTCCCCCCAGAAAATCTGTCTATCCCCCCAAAAAACCCCATCTCCACCCCCATATCCATCTCCCCCCCAAACCCGTTTTCCCCCCAAAAAATCACATATCCCTTCCCCCAAAAATCCATTTTCTCCCCCAAAACCCATCAACCCCTCCAACTCATCTCCATTCTCCAAAATCCCTCTCCCTGCCCAAAACCCCACCAATCTCCGCGCAGAAAATCACCCCCCAAAAACAGAGTCTCCCCTCCAAAACCCATTTACCCCAAACCCGCCCGGATCGGCCCCCCCAGCCCGAGTCCTTTCGGGATAAATTAGGCAATGCCAGCAGGGAGGAATGCAGGGGGGAGGGGGGAGGGCAGACACATATTTGGGGCCCCCCTGCCTGCCCGGCTGTGGCTTTGACCCCGCAGCTGTTTCACCCCCAAATCCCGGGGGCGGCTGGGGGGGGTGGGGGGGAGAGCAGCTGTCTCTGCCCCCCCCGGGACCAGCGTCCCACCAGCTGTGCTGGCAGCCCCCCCAAATCCTGGGGTGACCCCCAGCTGGGGGTGGCTCGGTCCTTGGGAACCCCCGGGCGGGGGGAGCAGGGTTTTTTCATGGGGAAAGCACCTTTTAGCATGACCTTGGGGGAACAATAAGCCGGGGGGGACTGCTATTAATAACCCCCCCCGGTTATTATTCTTGTGCTGCGTCACCTCCTCTTCCTCGCCCGGATGAATTAACGGGGGGGGCACATCCAGATTTGGGGGCCACTTCGAGATTTGAGGAGCCACATCAGATTTTAGTGAGGGAACATCCAAACTGGTGGGGGCGGACATTCAAACTGGCGGGGGCACCCAAATAAGGGGGGTGTGAGGTGTTCCCCCAATTTGGGGTGCAGTTTGGAAGCGGGACGTGGGCAGGGTGGCGCTTCCTCAACCTCCTCTTCCTCGCCTCCCTCCCCCCAACTTTTCCCCAGAGTGCGGGGCAGGATTTGGGCCGGGGAGTGGAAAATGTGAGCGGCGGCGGGGCCGTGGCGTCCGGCCGGGCGCGGTGCCCCGGCGGCAGCGGGGGGGACCCGGGTGTCCGGGGGGGCCCAGGCGTCCGGGGGTGCGGGGCCGCGGCGCGGAGAGGCTTCCGGTAACCGGAGAGGGGGATTGTCCCCGACCCTGCGCGGACACCGCCGGACACCCGACACGCAGCTGCCCTTCCTCCGGCCGGGCTGGGGCTGCGGCGCCGGGGCTGGGCACCCACGGGCTCGGTGCACGAGTGGGGGGCGATTTCAAGGCACGCAGGGGCTGGGGAGCAGGGGCTGGCACCCACGGGCTCGGTGCACGCGTGGGGGACACGGTGGCGGAGCCCCCGCACGCTCGGTGCGGGTGCGGGGGCTGAGCAGCCACACGCGTGGGGACGATGGCAGAGCCCCCACACTCGGGGTACACGCGTGGGGATGTGGGGCCGAGCACCCGCACGCTCCGTGCACATCTGGGGAGCAGCACAGCCGCCCCAAGCACACACGGCCTCGTGCCTCAGTTTCCCCTTGCACGAGGGCCGGGCTGACACCCACGAGGGGCCTCCCCAGCCAGACCCCTTGGGGTGCTGGGTCTCCCATCCGTGTGGCCGCGTGCCC